GTTTCCTGCAGCTACAAATTCTGAGTCTAAACCTTGAATGTGTGGCCTAACATTATCCTGTTGAATATGAATGTTCTTTGATAAATTTCTAGGCCACTTCTCTTGGATAGCTGGAATTACTTTATTTATAAGCATGTCTTTTGTGACTTGTTTGGTAACTGCCTTGATTGGTTTGACTTCCAAGACCCCTTTAGCCCTGTTCTTGCTCTTTCTTTTGGCTTCAACAGTTTCAGTAAAATGAAAAATGCCAATTTTTCCATCCCAAAGAACAACTCCATTATCATCAATAAGTGGTCTACCAACCACACACAAGAACATGACTTTTGTAATGAACCTTTTTGATTTGCATGTCCTATAGGGGTCAACTTCTTCAGGAAGAAGGTAAAACCTCTGAGATGTTTTGGTCATAAAGAACCACTTCTCATCAATGTGCAATACATTATGAAAAGACTTGAATATAGGTTGGTGAGGCATACTCAAAGGTTCTATTTGGTCTAAACAGAATTTCAACCTAGCTTATTTATTAGCAGCGGTAAGGTACGGTTTGATAGCATTTGTGTGACTCCTAAGCATACCTCTTTTTATCCACTGATGGACATTGGACTTTGGCTTGCCAATTGCTGCTGCTAGTGTTCTGATAGTACCCCGCTTCTGGAGGGGGGTATCTGCAATGGCATTTACATCCATTTCTGCCCTTTTCCTCCCACAATGACCTGCCATTTTGCTTCTCACATCAATGGCAACCCCCTGCTCTAATTGTTTTTTTACGATGACTCATATCTTGCTAATCGTCTGTCTCGAGACATTAAGCTGTGCAGCAAGCGTGTTGATCTGCCCCCTCTGAGCTGAATAGGAACCATCACTATTCTGTTTTGAATTTCGTAGTAAACCTTCACTAATAAGCTGCCTTGTAGTTTTGTCAAGTTTTTTGGAATTCATTTATGGATTTTGAATCAATTTTGCAGGGATCCAAAAAGTGAAAAAGACAAAAAGAAAAAAAAGAAAAAGGCTGTCACACCCAGGAGGAGGAGGAGAAGAAGATGATGAGAGAAGAATGAAGGAGCCAAAAGGGGAAAGTCAATGGTTTTATATAACCAGTGGAGGGAGTTAGCCTTGTTGGTGGGGGGTTTGGGCGGGAAGGGAAAAATTTGGAGGGACCTCCAAATTTGTTTGTAATGTTAATGTATTTGGTCATTTTTAATCATTGTTATGTAATGTTTG